CATTTAATTCTATTTACCTCTCGAAGGCCCCATCTCCACATATTATCACATTCGGGATTAGGGCTTCAACATATGAATTGGGGGGGCGGGAGGGCAGGGACAGAAACATTCAGTTCTTAACAGTTGGCTTCTGAATGGGATGATCCAGTAGAGGAGATAACTGATGATAGGGGAATGAGAATTTTCCCTGTGCCTACAATGGTCCCAAATCTAATGCCTCAGTGGAAGAGCTGGCCTTAGATTGGAGCAAAGGCAGCTGATCAGTGTAGCTAGAGAGAAGGTGGAGTAGAAGTAGCCACAAGTACAGGTAGCTGGGTCAACAAAGGGCTGGGAGTTTGTGGAAGTTTTCCGATTGCTCCAATTTTCTTAGTGAAATAGGAAGCATAGACACTGGCTGAGAGTGAGAATGGAAGAGAAAGCACTGGAGACTGAGGAGAGAAAGGGATCTGTCATACAGTCTTCCGAGAGATTAGGAGAGAGCAGCCTTGAGAAGGGTGGTGGGGTTGTGGGGTGGACAGCGGTGCAGTCTGATGAGGCAAGATTAATGCTGTGGGTCTCTGGGGAGGATGGAGCAGGCATGAGGACCTGCCCCTCCCCCTGCCCAGTGGTACCAGGGTAGGAAGGAAGAAGAGCAGAAGCAGGTGCCTCCGAGCACAGCCAGATTTCACAGAAAGCAAGAAGGCAAAGAGAATAGAAAAAAGGTTGGGGAAACAATGGGTTTTGCTGATGATTAGTCTGAAGTTCTAGAGGGCATGGTGAGTCCCAGGTGGTTCCAGAAAGCACAGCAGAAGGTTTTTGGGAATTGGTGAGGAGTGAGAGGTGCCTACTCTGGCTCATTTAAGCAGAAAATATATTTCATGACAGCACATTAATGAAGCCCTTTGAGAGCTTGGAGAACGAGGCTTGGAAAACAAGCATAGTGCGGGCCAATACCAAAATCATACCGCAGAACCAGACTTGTGAGGACACTGCTGCTGAGTGCTGAGGGCCACAGGGCCTGTACCACTCTTGCTGGGTGAAGACCCTAGACGCTGCTGATGCTCCAAAACTGTCCACCAAAATCGTTCTCTGTCCCTATTCCCCTCGCCACCTCCTGCTGGGTGCCTCTGATATGCTGAGTGTAGCTCACAGGCCTTTACCCTAGCTTCATGGCAGGCTGGGAAAGTGAACATATGGCATTTTTGGACTATATGGTCAAAGTGGCTCTTCCTTCTACAAAGACCCACAAGGTGGATATGTCTTACAGGCTTCTTATTTGCAACTATAGGACTTCCTCTGGGTCATATAAGCAGAAAGGGCTTTCTTATAAGATATAGATAGCTCAGAGAATCTCAGAGGACGAGAGAAGCAGGCTTAGAAAGTACACAGCTAAGAAGAATGCCATGATAGCAAACCATGTCATGGTACAATTTTAATGGAGCCACCACTGTGCCAACCCATCCATACCAAGTAAACCCAGGACTAGACTGGAAAAGCTCCATCTCAGCCTCTCCAGGAAAACTAGATGCTTCTGCTATTGCTATCTCTGGAAGAAAGTTCCAGTCACACAGCTGTTGCTCCAGGTTGCTCATTTCCATATTCAAATCTCAGGCAAGGATGCTGATTGGCAGAGCCCATGTTATGTGATCAGCATGAAGGGCACTTGGAAAACTTGGTGCTTGTGGAGTCTGCCTTGAGAAGGGAGAATTCAAAATGTGAGAACTATCAAAGTAGAGCGAGGATGTTTGAAGGATACTGTGCATCTCTGAATGACAGTTGCCCACTTTGGGGCAGAATTTTCCCAATGTAGGAAGATGTTGGGCAGTCACCCAAAAATGATAAATAAGAAAAATAAAAGTAGCCAGAAATATGCCTAGTCTCATTTCTCTCATTGCCCAGAGGCAACTGGCAATTCCTTGAATTTTTCAATCCACTAAAATGGAAGTTCCTTGTTAGTCCCTATTTTTGCCTGTTTTATTTACAAACGAGTCCCAAGAAAGTACCTGGCACATAGCAGGTGCTCAGTACATATTTGTTGAATGAATGAAAGACAAAGTTTCAGGTGGAATGTAGGTCCAGAAAACTGCCAGAGATAACTTAAATTCAAGCTTGATTTGAACACGTACAGCAGGAGAAGCAGCCGTGCAAACTCCTCTCTCAACCACTAGGAATTAAACAGAGTTTTAAAATAGGGTTGAAAACCAAAGTGTAGCAGAAGGTGGGAAAGTGGTGGCAGTGGCAGGAAATCCAAAACATAACCTAATGAGTTCACTGTCAGGTGCAACTTCTAGATTTTCACTGCTACATTAGTCATGTGTTTATGAGTCCATGCTATCACCTGAATCATACTTTATAAATATTGAAATTAGCAGACATAAGGGTTAAGATTGATATTTCAAAAAGATATCAAGTTTTCATAGCCCAGCTGAGCGAGTGCTTATCTTGCTATACCTTGGGAGGCAGAAAACATAGAGGCAGTGTGATCGATGAGAAAGAGTGAGGCACAGTAAAATGCAATGGAGACCTCTAATCCTTGCCTAAGCCATTCAGCCAGGAAGTCCTGTAACTTACAAGGTTTTGTAAAATATTCCACACTAGAACAATCCTAGTTTATTGCTCCTGAATAAACAAAGGTCCATGTGATAGCTTCATAGTTTCCTCTTAACCAAAGATAATTCCCATCTTAGAGTCTCATATTCTAAGTTTCTTATTTTCCTTCTCAAAAGAGGGATTTATAAAATCCAGTTCTATAGGCATGTCCTTCCTCTTTACTTTGCTATTTTAATAAGCATATGTATGTTTTCATAAATGATACTGCACCAGGCAGGCAACAAGAATCACTCTAGTTATTTTAAGTAGAGATTTAATACAGGAAATTAGGAGCCTACAAAACCTTTGAGCTCCAGGCTGTTTTTAAGAAAGACTCCCAGAGAACACCACCACTGCCCCAGAAGCTGCTGCCTCTGCCTCAAACAGCCAGCCACCCCTGGGATGAGTTTAAGAACACATGACTCAGCTGGCAACCAGGGATCCAGAAGCAGCTCCAGGTCCTTTGGATTGAACAACTGAGCGAACGGGGTTGCCATTTAGAGGGAAGATACTGGAGGAAAGGCTTGGGAGGTGGAAATGTAGCAAGAGTTCTGTTTCAACCATGAGGAGTTTGAGACACCTATTAGACATTCAAGAGAAGATGTTGACTAGGACGTTGGATATGCAAGTGTGGAGACCAAAAGAAAGTCTAATTTGGGGATTTCAATTTAGGAGATTTCATACTATACAACCCCTGCTGTATTTGCTTTTCTTTGTTAGCCACAATTTTACTTTTGAGTTAACCAAGTTCTTGAGAGTTCACTGTATTCACTTCTTCACCTCTTAGTTTTCAAACTCAAGGTAATCTAGCTTCTACTTCCAAAAACTCCACTGAAAGTATTCTGAAACGGGTCACCAGTGTCACCCAAGTATAAAATCAAATTTTTTTTTCAGTTCTCTCTGCAATATTTGTCATTTTTGACTACTTCCTGCTTCTAGGAGTGGATCTCGGAAAACACTGATAACTGTTTCAGGCATGATGCTAGAAGAGGTTATGAAGCAAGAGGAGTAAGCATGGTTATGGTTCACCAGAATAAAATCCCCCCTAATAGAGTCATTTCTCTTATTGATCAGATTGCTGTTTGGTAAGAATGTTGTAGATTAATTATCTGTTTACTTCAGTAAGGTATCTAACAATCACTCACAACATTCTTCTAGCTAAATAGGAGAGAATCTCTTGGTTAAATTCACAGATGACAAATTCAAGAAGGAGATCTCCAATGTCTATGTCCTGAGCTGTGCTCTCTGCAAGTTAGAACACTAGGCCAAAAGCAAGTTTTAATTCACAGAGCTACACTGCAAAGGAGCGAGGAGGCCAACATCCCTTACATAAACACCACTCAGACACTCCTAAGCAGAAAGTTTTGGTTTTCCAGAAAGACAAATGAGCCAATAGTGTGGAATCTGTGATTTGAAACAAAGCTGACACATCTTTAGGCAGCATTAGTTCAAGTAGAATACGCAACAGTAGTCATAAATAGTCCAGATTTATTTCTTCTAAGCCTCGATCCAAAAGAGATTGGAATGGATGTGTTCTGGGTTGGCATACCATAACTGGAATAGTGCATTTTATTCTAGAATGCATTTTGCCTTAAGAAAGAAGAGTGTGGCTAGAGGAACATGGTCAGAATAGTGAGAGATCTGTAAATATGCACAGCAAATCTACAAAAGAAAGTCAACGAAGCTATTAGTTTACTGGTTTTGCCAATCATAGAGAACCTAGGAGGATCCCAATATTCAAAGAAGCTTCCAAAGCTTCCAGCAAAACACACACACACACACACACACACACACACACACACACACACACACACACACACACAGTCCTTGGCCCCTGGCTCTTTCTCAGACCTCCCCCTTCTCTCCTTCTCTCCAGGCCTGGCCAAACTGGTGAAATTCTAGTAAGTTAGAATTAATCGGTCAGCCGGTCAGGACACCTAGGTCGGCCCCTTCAAGGAGCTGGCCCCTGGCTCTTGGGGTACTTTAGACTCTCATTTTAGGCGGCAGAAGGAGTTTCATCTAGAGATGCGATTCTAGCTCTGGGTCCAGGCGCCGGGAGACGGTGGAGATGGAATCCGTGCGGCTGCAGGTACACCGAAGGAGTCCCGGTGGGAAGCGACTCGCAAGAGCGCGACTAAGACCCGCAACGTGGCCAGGGGTGGCCAGGGGCGGGGCGGAGGCCCCGAGGGGGCGTGACCAACTCCAGGCCAGGAGGCGGGGCGGAGGCGGAGGCCCCCGAGGGGGCGTGACCAACTTCATGGCAGGAGGCGGGGCGGAGGCGGAGGCCCCGAGGGGGCGTGACCAACTCTAGGGCAGGAGGCGGGGCGGAGGCGGAGGCGGGGCGGACTCGGCCTGAGATATCCCCTCGCCCAGCAGCCCCAATCCCGCGCCCCGACTTGTTACCTCTGTGGGAGGCGGAGGCGAAGGCCGCCATGGTGCTGCGTGCGGTCGTGTTCGAGCTGGACGGGGTCCTGGTGCTGCCATCGGCTTCCGGCGCCCTCCGCCGTGCCGAGGAGGAGTTAGCGGTGCCCGGGTAAGGCGACCCGGCGCCGGGCCTGCGCGGGTGGGTCGGTGCGGTCGAAGGTAGGATCCCTGCTGAGAAGCTGCCTTTCGGGACTTCCAGCCCTGGTTTCAGATTGCTGTGGTTTGAGAGCCCTGCTAAAGGTTAAAACAATTACCGGGCCCTAAAATACCAGTCTGTGTTGGTAGATACATTGTCTTTCTAAATGCTGATTACACTTCGCCAAGGACTCCAAAATTGCCCTCGGTAGTGAAACCTTTTCCCAAGAGAGAGGAATTACTCGCTGAACTGGCTGCTGCCAGCCTAATCTTATGTGATGGAATGGGTCTTAAAGAGGAGCGCTGAGATTTTGAAGAGAAAAAATTTCTGTCCTTTGTGGATTTACTTATTATAACAGCAAACTAGAGAAACAGCCCCATTCACTGGGAACTGGTAAACTAGGAAGCATCACCAGTAAACGTGATGTTCAGGATAAGAGTTCAGTAACATCAGAAAATACGTGTTATAATAAGTGAAAAAAATCTGGGTTTGCACCGCAGGTGGAGCCACGGACCATACCCGGGGTGCGCCAGGCCCCGGGTGCGCCGTGGGCGCGCCGTGAGCGTGTAGGGGAGACGCCCGGCCTTCAGAGATCCAGTTCTTAAGGGCCGTGAGCGTGTGGGGGAGAGCCCAGCCTTCAGAGATCCAGTTCTTAAGGGGAAACGGCAACATCCCTAGGTCAGGGGTGGAAGGTGTGGGGGAATTAAAGAGGGAGAAAAAAAAAAAAAATGAGTGAAAAAGATCAGACCCACCAGACGGTAAAACTATTTATACAACATGGTTTCAACTTTGGAAAAAACTACATGTAGAAAATGGAAGAAAAATGTCTAAATATCCCTGGGATTATTAATTCCAGGTGAGATTATGAGTGAAATTGTAATGGTTAATAGAACAAAATCTTTATAAACATAGTACTAATGTATAGCAAATTATACCAATTAAGTAAACGGCTCAAATTTCTAAGGGTGAAGGCCCAATGTCCGCAAATTTCTGCATATTCATCTTAATGTTAACTTGATTTCACCTAAATATTACCCTGTTAAGAGAGAGATATTAAATACTCCTCCCCTTCCAAAACATCATAATACTTTCAGAGGTAGAAAGGAAGCAATTCGATTTCTCAATTATTTTTACCCATTGCCATGAATCTGATATTAGTTTTATTGCAGTTTAGGCTAAGGTAGGTGCTCTAAAGCAGTGATCCCCAAACTGTTTGGCACCAGGGACCAGTGTTCCTATGAGAATCTAATGTCTGATGATCTGAGGTGGAGCTGAGACAGTGATGCTAGCGCTGGGGAGCGGCTGCAAATACAGATGAAGCTGCTACGCTCTCCCATCTCCTGCTGTGTGGCCTGGTTCCTAAGAGGCCTTGGACAGGTATCAGTTTGAGGCCCAGAGACTGGGGACTTTTGCTCTAAAGGACCCAGTGAGTTGAATTTGCTAGGTTCCAGAACATTGCTGGTATTGTCCAATAAACCTTTTTGCCAGAAAGTCTGTGGTTGAAACATTTCCTGGATCAGTGATTGAGAAGTTAAGACCAGCTGCTAATGAATCTGATTGTTCCCTAATTGTCAGATAACAGCTTGATATTTTCTATCATTTTACAATTTCTTAGTGAGTAGGACCAGGTCTCATTTCTTTCCTGTACCCTCTGTAGCATCTACTGAAATGTTGTGGGCATGAGTACCATTTGGTGGGTGGTATCCAGAAAGATTTTTCTTTCTACCTCAGAAACAACAACAACAACACCAATCCATCACATGGCACACTTTAACTCCAGAACATAATTTACAGAATCATTAATCTTTAAAATTAAAATGTTGGACTTATTCTCTCTGGCATCACTGAAAATGCATTTCGGTTTTTAAACATTGGCATAAGGTGGAAGAAACTCACAAAAGGAAGTAATCTTCAAAACACTGAACTCCATTTCATGCAATTAGCCCAAAGAGCAAAGTAAGAAAAGACACAACTTAAAGTATTGGCAAAAGGACAGTACACATTCTGAAATATTTATAAAGATCGTATACAACAGGGTTCCTTAGCCATCAGTTTTTACTTTGTTGCTCTAAATCACCTCGGTTGAATTATAGGTCCTTTCCACTTGAATAACTGATCAGATATCAGTATAGGGGTTAAAACCCTTCCAGCAAGATAAAAGAAATGATTCACATTTAAAATAATGTACTTTTCATAAAACTAGCAGCACTTCATTCTACCAGGATATTCAACTTTGGCTTCATCGACTGGTCAGAAACAAAGGACATTGCATACAGGTCCAAAACAAATTCTTCTGCAAGGGAAATGTGAGATTACAATTTTTCCTTAATAACTAATTATTTCCCCCTTAGGTGGTGAATGAAATTACTGGAATGTCACCTTCGACGATAGAGAGGGAAAGCGGGCTGAATAGGGCAGTAGCTTTACAGAGGGGTGTTCTACGGCGGTCAGGGTTGACAGAGGTGCAGCTAGATTTAAGGCATTTAAGGTAGGTAGCAATGGGATAAGGGGTGGCTATAAACTAACTCAGTTGTAGGAGGCAGTGGGGTCCCACCAGAGAGAGAGTGTATGCGTGTAGAGTGCTCGATGGACAGGGCGGGTTTAAGTAGACACAGGGGAAAGGTGCAACCCCTTTTAATAGCTTATCCTGTTAAGTCTCAGGAGGAGATGGTTTTGTAAAATCAAAGTAAAGGTAGGGACAGTCAAGAAACTACTAACAGAATAACTATGGGATCATCCAAGGCAGGCACTGGATGGCCATCCAGCATTCAGATAGATTCCAGGAGGAGGCTAAAGTTTGAAAGCATTGTATCATAATACCTCTATGCCAAAGTTGTCCATTTAAAAGAATTAAAATGACAAAAATGAGGAGGTACTGTATAGTTGAATGTTTATGATAAGGAAAAACTAGAACATACAATTTAAAACGTAGGGAAGGTGACCGGCTTGTCGTGAGAGGGTTAAGGTGGTTAAAATACCCAAGAAATAAATGTTATAGTAACTATGAAATAAACATAATAATTATGCATAGCAAGGGTTGACTTTACTGGCCCAGTCCCAGATCCTGAGACAAGCCATCTGCTTTGAGTGCCATCTGCTTTTTGTCTGAGCAGTTGTCTTGGAAAACTCTCATTTGAGGTCTCCTCTAGGCTGGGGTGTTCAATCAGGTGATGAGGCATTTTTTAAATGAAAAACATAAATTCATACGTCAATACCTTTTAACTTTGCGATGCAGGGTTTAGTTAACAATGTTCCAGCCAGGCTGGAGGGAGTCCTAGTGCAGATATTCTTTTCAGTGGATCATATCTCAGGTCGTAGGCCATGATATTCGATGTCTTCATCTCCCAGAATTACGCTGTGAAAAGATTGCTCTACGAGCTTGTATTAATTTCAAGGGCCTTTATAAGGTCTTTGCAATAAGTTAGAAGAATTCCTTAACAAGGCAGGTTTGCACATTCCTTCATCTAGCCTCTTAGGTCTTCTGGTAACAGTTTTTAAAAAGAGACAATCTATGTTTACCGAAGGGGATAGATCTCAGATTAAGCAATACCAAGGGAAGGGTGTTAGGCCAACGCAGGTTAAGATTCAATAAATTTTACCAATTGAATTTGAACTACTTCGTCGTTTTGTTTTATAAAACCAGAGGACTGGGGAACCAGAGGAAAGCCTGTGATACCGGCCAAGTTTTGCTCACCTGGTATATAATTTGTCTTGCAGAGTCGCTATGGAGCTCTGTGAGGATTTTCCAAGTAGGAAAAAAATCTCTTCCAGAAGTTTTTTAAAACTGCTGTGGCTGTAGCCCTTTGACATAGGCATGCTTCTACCCAAAGAAAACACATAAAATCATCATTAATACATTTTTATTCTTGAAGGTGGGGCAAATTGGATTGAAATCCACTGTCCAAAACTTAAATAGGCCTAATTAGTTTATTTCCCCCTTTTGTTCATGTTGACAAGTAAAGAACTCGCAAGCAATTACAGAAAGTTAAATGGTTAGAAGCAAAATTTAGCTTTTTTAGTATTAAGAAGATTTGATTTACCTAAGAAATCAAAGACCTGATGATACAAAGCAGAGGAAATAATTTAATAAAGTGTAAAATCTTCACTTTCCCTTTATAATTTTCTAATGAGAGTATACCAACTGTATAGGAAAACTTTTGTCCATTCAAGAAATTCAAATTCCAATTCTGTGTTAACGTACTCTTAGATAAGTCCATTTCAGTCTTGGATAGTTTGACCACAAATGAGATTTTTTTTTCAAGATTCATTCTTCATGAACCTTCTGCAACATACATAAACCTTCAAGTTTTTTAGACCTTTCAGCTTTTGTTCTATCTTTTTCTTTCTTATTCTAGAACAATCGTTTTACTCTCGGACTCTCTTTTTACTCAGATTATATTCTTTTTCTTCAACAAAAATGTATTTTCATCCCTCATACCTACTTTACTAAGCACATGTATCTTCTGTTCTATACGCAGTCATCTTTAATAGCCATATCCTAATCAGGCGTCATCACAAATGTCTGGATTTTAATCTGAGGCATCTCGTGCCTGTCCAGCCTTGTGAAGCGACACACTGAGGTCTCCAAACTTATTATCCTGATTTTCCATCTGGTCTGCTAGCCTCAAAACCAGCAGAATGGTGGACAACTGCATGTCCTCCTTAATTAAACATCCTTAAGCTAGCTTTTATTTGCTAAAGATTAATCCCAGATGATGTGTACTTGAAAAGCAATTGGGTTAGTTTCTGTTATTTCTTCAATTTGTATGAGTGCACATTTGTTTTAGGCCAATCGAACAGGGCTCCTTTATAACCTAATTTTGAAATTACAAATCAATCAATACCATGCAATGGTAGAAATATGCCATATCTATAACATATATTCATAGACAAACAAACATACAGATAAACACAAAGATTTCATAGCTTTCATTTTAAAACACTAATTTTTTTATTCCAGGCATAACACAAAACTCAAAAGAAAAACTAGATCCAAATTATGTTTTCTAGATGAACTAAATTAAGCTTTTGCTCAGATGGCCTAAGTTTTTGCATACTGTAAGAATTCCTTTAAAGCCTTCTTTAAAGTAAAAAAATACATTCTATTGTCTCTAAGAAACCACCGATGCAGAATCAAAACAAGGAAAAAAATTCTCTCTCTTTTTTTTTTTTTTTAAGGATGTGTTTAAGTCCTTTGGAGCAATGCTTTGTGCAGAGGAGCTGAAGGCAGTACAGACCTCATGTTCAGTCTTGATTTTGTCCCTTATGCGGCAAAGCCGGAAGCACCTCCAGTTGAATAGTCTCTGCTGGGTGAACCCCCATGAGCTACTTCACTTATGAGCGTATTTATATTTAGTTTATGGTCTCATGTCCCCAGCTGCATTCCTCCTTGTGGGCACAGATCCCAGCTTGAACATTGCATGTCCCCATCCATGGCAGAATGCCTTTCTATAGCAGTTTGTCCATGGGTATAAATAGTGTCCATCACTTATATGCCACTGTGATGAAGTCACTGGAATGTTCATAATGTTGCTTCTCTGTGCCTTCCAGAGGCTTTCTGAGTGAGGCTTTCAAGAGAGGAGGCCCAGATGGTTCCAGTGTCCGCCTCATGACGGGAGAGATCACATTTTCCCAGGTAAGGGGACACCTCATTGACCCCCATAAGAAGACATTCTGTGCCAAAATGCCCACCTCCTGCATTGACCATATTCCTCAAAGGGTAGAGCCGTGTCTGCTTTACCCATTTACCCCTATGGTACTTAACTCACAAGGCTAGACTGTAGGCCTGGAGACAAAGAGACATTTCAGACTGGTATGTTGTCTTTTTGGACCAAGCAGAGGGACATGCTCCAATGACTGGGAAATTTCCAAACTTTTGAAGATCTATGCCAGAGAATTGCAACAGCTATAGTAGCTTTTTTTTTTTTTTTAAATGTAAACTGTGGTAAAACACCTACCATAAAAATGACCATCTTGATTATTTTTAAGTATATGATTCAATGTTGAATATATTCACATTGTATAACCATCACCACCATTCCATCTCCAGAACTCTTTTCATCTTGAAAAACTGAAATTTTATACTCATTAAACAGTAACTCTCTGCTCACCACTCCCCGCCCCATAACCACTATCGAATTTTCTGTTTTTATGTATTTAGCTATTATAGTACCTTATTTAAGTGGAATTATGCAATATGTATCTTTGTGTAACTGGCTTATTTATTTAGCATAATGTCTTCAAGGTCATCCATGGTGTAGCATGTGACAAGATTTCCTTCTTGTAGCCTATGATGAAGGCTACTTAGGTTCCACCTGTCTTTCTTTTAATTCATACACAACATTTTGTTTATCCATTCATCTATTAATAGACACTTGGGTTGCTTCCACATTTCGGTTATTGTGAAAAATGCTGCTATGAACAGGGGCATACAAATATTTGTTCGAGAATTTGCTATCAATTCTTCTGGGTATATATCCAGAAATGAAGCTGCTGGGTTGTATGATAGTGCAATTTTTAATTTTTTTGAGAATCTACCATATTGTTTCCCATAGTGGCTATACATTTTACATTCCCCCAACAGTGCACAAAAGTTCCAATTTTTTCACATCCTTGCCAACCTATATTATTTTCTGTTTTTTGTTTTGTTTTGTTTTGTTTTGTTTTTGTTTTTGTTTTTTTACACCATAGTAGTCATCATTAGAGTAGCTGTTTTCAGACAGGGCTGGCGGGGTGGGGGATGGAGGTGGGAGGAGGGTGCGGCTGTTAATTGGTAACTATATTAGTGGGTAGACTTTGGGGTCAGAGATCAGGATTTGAATCATAGCTCCTACTTACAGACTGGCTACAGCAAGTTGCTTAACCTCTCAAAGTTTCAGTTTTGTCATCTGTAAAATGAAAGCGATAATACTATCTATTTCATGGGTTGTTATAAAGCTTGACAAATGCTTAGCACGGTGCCTGCCACAAAGTAAATGTTCAAAAATAATAGTACTATTGTTACTACAATCTCATTATTATTTAATAAAGTAATCAGGATTGAAAACCACTTGGATTCTAGTTAGTGCCTCGAAGAAGAGAATCTACTCTATAAGCACGCAGATAAAACTGTATATTTTTTTTAAATTTTATGAATTAAAAACACCTATGGGTCTGTCAGAGAACTTGGGGCCTACTATAATAGGAAGCAAGAGCCCACCTTTTCTGTGATAGTAAGTGTGGTCTTAGAGTGGGGAGTATAAGGAATTACAGTCATTTTAAAACGCTGCCTTTCACACACACACACACATTGTGGCAACTGGTGAATGAAAACTGGAATGATGCTATTGAGAATAAATGTTACTGAAGCTTGAATCAATAGAAAAGCTGCAGTAATATTGTTGGAAGGTAAGGAAAGAAGGAACTACTATGTATTTTCAATGAACATAGGAATTATAGAGGGGATTTCTAGTAATTGCTATGAAAATCCTATACCCATTCAGACTTCTTCAGTCTGTGTATAGTTTCTAGGAAACACAAACTGCTTAGAAGAAGAGGTCTGAAAACCAAATTATGCTATGATTAAGGCTACTTCGGTTCCATTCATCTTTTAAAAAGTTGTATCTTAGAAATAAATGTCATCTTTTACCTTTTCATTTATGTGTGCCTTACAAACAAAGAGTACACCAAGTGTACAGCTTGATGAATTTTCACAAACTGAATATACACTCATGTCGCCAGCACCCTGATCAAAGAATGAAACATTGTCAGCACTGTAGGCACCCAGCTATGCCCCTCTACACACTACCCCTCCAGGAGCAACTACCATCCAGACTCGAACCTATAGATCGCATCTGCCTATTTTGTACATTATGTAAATGGAAATGAAATGCGTATTTCATTGTCTGAATATACTCTAATCTCTATCCACAACCTATAGATCGCATCTGCCTATTTTGTACTTTCTGTAAATGGAATCATGCAGATAAACTTTTGTATCTGGCTTCTTTTCCTCATAACATACCTGTGAGAATTACAGATATTATTGTATTCAGTTGTGCGTAGTTGTATTCTCTTTGCTGCATATTTCATTGTCTGAATATACTCTAATCTCTATCCATTCTGCTCACCCCACCCCCTAAGTGAGATGGAAAGGCATCGTGAGGATTTGAGCAGCCAAGTGTTGTTATCTGACTTACATTTTAAAACCTCACTCTGGCTGCTGTGTGAATAGACCAAGAGAGCAAGGATCGTTATACAAAGACTATTAAGGAAGTTATTGGAAATTCCAGGAGAGAGATGATGGTGGCTTAGACGAAGGTAATATGAGTAGAGGTGGTAAAAAGCGGTCAAATTCTGGGAATATTTTGATGATAGATCCAGCGGGTTTTCCTGATGGATTGAGTGTAAGGCGTGATAGAGAAGTTAAGGATGACTCAGGTTTCTGGCCAAAGCAAATTGGAAGTATGAGTTGCTGTTAATTGGAAGAGGGATGACTGCTGTGGGAGCTGGGAAATCAGGTACTTGATTTGGGATATTTTAATTTGAAATGCCTATCGATATCCAAATAGAGTGTGGAATAGGCAGCTGGATATACAACCCGGGGTTCAAGGAAGAGGTTCAGGCTGAAAACGTGTGTGTGTGTGTGTGTGTGTGTGTGTGTGTGTGTATTTTTTCCCCCCACAGTATATAGATGGTATTTTTTAACACTATTGGACTCAAAATGATCATGGAGAAAGGGAGTATAAATGGCGAAGAGAAGGGGCCAGCATCCTGAGTACTCTTAATGTTAAAGGTAAAGTTCATGAGGAGGACCCAGCAATCGGAGGTGAAGAATGTATCTCCATTGATAAGAGGAAAATCAAGAGAGTATGGAGTCCTAAAATCAAGAAGTTATCAAATTTCAGATAAAGAGTGTGATCAACTGTCAAATGCCAGTTAGATACAGCAACGCAGTGAGGACGTCATTGGTAACCTTGAGGAGAGTAGTCTCTGGAATGTGGAGGTGGAAGGCCAATTAGAGTATGTTCAAGAAAGAATGGGAGGAAAGGGCTAGGGGACTATGTATAGTATGGCTGTGGAGGCTGGAAGCCCAAGATCAAGGTATGCACAGGGTTGGTTTCTTCTGGGGCCTCTCTCTTTGGCTTATAGATGGCCCTCTTCTCCCTGTGTCCTCACAGTCTTTCCTTTGCATGTGTCCATGTCCTAATTTCCTGTGTTTATAAGGACGACAGTCAGAATGGATTAGGGCCCAACCATGACCTCAACCATTACCTCAATCACCTCTTTAAAGACCCTATCTCCAAGGACAGTCACGTTTGAGGTCCTGGGGTTAAGACTGCAACAAGAATTGGAGGGAGGGCACAATTCAGTTCATAACATAAGCATTTGAGTATTTTCCAGTGAGGGGCTCTTAGGAACAATGCTGCTGGGAACATGGTCGTACATGTTTTGGTGAACTTCCATAGACATTTCCACTGGATACGTGTGCAGGAGGGGAATCGCTGAGCCACAGAGAATGCCTGTGTTCACATTTAGTAAATACTATCAGAAGCTTTTCCAAGTGGTGGTACCAACTGACAGTCCCTCGACATTTTACTTTTACAGTGGGCGTCGCTCCTGGATGAAGACTTCAGGAAATACTCCAAGGACTCTGGAATCTGCCTCCCTGAGAATTCCTCTGTAAATCAAATCTTTGGCAAGGCGATGTCAGCAAGAAAGATCAACCACCCCATGCTATGGGCAGCTCCTGCTCTCAGAAAGAAGGGTGAGGATCCATTACTGGCCATTTTCTGACCCAGCCACACCAGAACTCTTGGGAGAATTAGGTCAGAATACATCTAAGGGTGTTTTGAAATCATAGATCTTCTGGGCCTTGTTGGAAAGCTGTTCTTAAAACATAGCCCCAAAGTAAGTTTTACCAAATGGAAAAAACACTACTATCAGAATAGCTGGAAAAATGAGTGAATTTTATTTAATAAAGCAATTTATGCCAGAGACTACCTTGAGAGCAAAATTTCAATGACACTTGTAATGACCCAAATGACCCAACTTCTTGTCACAGTGACTAAAAAACAAGGCCTTTTTACACAACTATGTTTTTCTCAACCTCTGGTCATCAGAGTGATGAGCTATGAGCTGGCTGAAATGGATTCAGATGGTGTTAAATTTTCTACTACAGGAATTCATGTTCTTCCTATGGGCTATTTATTTAGTGTCAGAGCCCAGCTCTTCTTCACAAGCATATTTGAAATCATTCCACCTACTTATCAGTAGACTTACTTGACTGTGGCTAAGCCATTTCATGTCCATATTTCTCACTTATATTACATGGACAGGGTCACCTCATCAGCTCCTCTGTGTCTCGTTTCCAGCACCTCCTGGTTCTGGCCCTCTCTGGTTAGACAGAGAAGGCCAAGGGATAATGCCATCTGTTTACATTTCTGTAGTTGAAATGGGAATTCAGTCTTTGACAGCCAAAACTGGTGTTTTAAAATACACTGGAGCAGAGTTTGCAATACCAGACTAGAAGGAGTACTGGAGTGCCAGTCTGAAGGCAGGATTCTGGGTCTAGCTTGGCTCTGCCTTCACTGTATGCATGGGCAGTTCATCATTTGTCTGAGCTTCTGGTTTGCTCATCTGCGCAAGTGGGATGGTAAGATCTGACTTGTCTACCCCAAACGTGGCAAGGATCAAATGAGCGAACGAATGTCACAACCTCTTGCTCTACAATTGTAAGGAATTAAGGGATGCAGCGTCTCTATCTGGGCTTCTGAAAGCCCTTAAATGTGCACAGTCAGCTCATTTTGTGTCTCTGCGTCAGGAGGTGCTTAAGGGTAAAGACGATTCTTTTCCAGCTTGTGAGTTTAGAAGCTAAGCAGTGGGAGATTGATGTAAGTGAGCAGAACTCCACTTGGTCCCATCTTTGGGGTTCCCTGTGGGATAACAGAGCATCTCGGAGCAAAGTTCTGTAGCTGTTTCGTTCACTGGCGACTTCTCACTCAGGATTTACAACTTGCATCCTCACCAACAACTATCTGGATGACAGCACCCAGAGAGGCAGCCTGGCCCAGCTGATGTGTGAACTGAGGCCACACTTTGACCTCCTGATAGAGTCATGTCAGATAGGAATGGCCAAGCCTGATCCTCGGATCTACAGGTTCATGCTGGACACCTTGAAAGCCAGCCCCAATGAGGTACGTAGACGCTTCCTTTCAGTGGAAAAGAATGTTGTAGAGATACTGCAATCAAGAAAAATTGGGAAGGAGTGAGCAGGTGGGGGACGTCTGGCCCTGGCAGGACCATGGCAGGTCCAGTGGCAGGTTCCACTTCTCTCAGGGCAGAACTTCTAAAGGACTTTTACCCACCCCTTCAGCCTAGAAAGTTCTACCAGAGGTGAGCATCTGACCCTTCTCTGTGGCTCTTAACAGGACTTTGATCAAAACAGATACTGTTGAAAGCTTCTAGACCAGGTGCCTCGGGTTACCTGTCAAAACATGCAGACCCTGAGACACTTTCCTAAGACCATGAGTCTAGTCAAGGTTATCCCAACAAAGGGTGAGCAGAAATGGGCCCCAATATTGCAGCAGTCTTCTAGGGCCCCTTGTACCTCTAAATTCTGGTTTCATACTGTCTCTAGATGATCTATTCTAAAACGTTCTTTGTGTTCTCCTACTCTGACCTGCAAAAAGGCGATTGGACCAGGATTAAATTCCTTTCCCTGACATTTCTGACCCTTCCGTATGGTCCCGCCTCTCCCATGGCTGGCCAGCTGAAACCCTGAGCTCCATCACTGGGAATCCTTGCCAGGCTCAAGAATACCGGGGCCCTGTCTTTCTCCTCTTAAACTTTGTTTCTGCTCTTTTTAGCCCCTGGATTAAGCATTAAAACAGCACTCTAAATTTTATAATGCATATAGATAAATGTCTTTTCATTTATGGCTTTTGGGTTGGCTGAGTTGCTTAGAAGTCTAGGCTTGCCCTAATCCAAGATAATAAATAAATGCACCTATGCTTTCTTCTATACCTCTAAGGATCTTTTTTCCCTTTATTTCTATTAAAATTTGAAACTTTGATCCATTTGGGCATTATTTTGGGGTAAATATGAAGGAAGGATCCACTTTTTCTCTTAGTTAAAATAATCAATCTTTTTCTCACAGGTTAGACAGGACACTTTTATTAGAAACTAGATTGTCATTTGTATTTGGGTCTATTCCTCGACTCACTCTCTGTGTTTATTTCTATTTATATGTCTATTTCTTTTCTAGTGCCATTTTTTAAACCTTTTATAGCTCTATAATGTGTTTTCTTATCTGCCCTTATAGTTTTTTTCTAGACTTTTTTTTTGTTTGAGTCATACATATTGATTTTTCTAGATGTATTTTTATATTTTTTTATCCTGATAATTTTATATTCTTCCTTAACCTTCTCACAGTTTCAGAATACAGGCTGAAACCAATAGGTGTACGTGGGAACACTTACATCTGTGTGTATATGATGTTTATATAATATATTTAATTTTAAGAGTGTACAGTTACATGGAGAGAAAAATTCTTAATTTCATCATTGTGAAATAATCAATGTTTACATTTTAATGCGTTTCTTTCTGGTGTCGTCCCTCATGCACGAGGTTTGCTTTGGTCAGCGATACCAGTATCCGTGCTATTTGGATTCAGGTTGTTTTCGTGGATTCCGTCGGGACTAATCTGAAGCCAGCCTCTGACTTGGGAATGGTCACCATCCTCGTCTCTGACACTGACACTGCCCTGCGAGAACTGGAGCGAGTAACCAGGGTGCAGGTAACTGTACGTCTGTGCCGAGTCCGATTTCCTGTCACTCATCTGTGTTTAGGTACGAAAAACAAAACAAGTGAGAGGAGAACCCGGTGTTGCAGGAGTCCCTTGCTCCCAGCATGGTTCCCAGGTGTGGACCTCTTGGGTAGGAGTTTATTACCCATTGTGCAGTCAGCGTGACATCCTTGAAGAACATCTTTGTTCTTTCTCTGTAGTCAATGAACAGAGAAATGAAGTATAGAGCAAAAATCTATACTAGTCAGAGTCAGAGGCACCGAGACAAGAGTGGGACTTTCAAAGCCACCCAACTTTACTTTTTAGGGTAAATATTGAGAAGTCAGCTGCTAGGTCTGCTCTAGTCAGGGTAGGGAGTGCAGCCTTTACCTGGTCTGCCTGTTGTGCCATTGGAAAGCGGGTGTAGTTGTTTGCTTCCTCTTGGTTCACATCCTTTTGGCAATGGCTGACGGAAGGAAGGCTTTTAAGGAAAACATGTCCCTCACATTAAGGTGAACAGGATGTCCTTAATGATGCCCCTGGGGGCTGTCTGGGAATTAGCTTGCTCCCCAGGAGCTAAGCCAGCCGCCTTTCCTTCTTTTGAGCTTACTTAAGATCAGGTATCCCGTTGAGTTGGGGAGTGACAGTTATGCAGATCTTTTGCAGTAATGCTGTGCTTTGCTCAGGGTTGTCAGTGTCATGGGAGAGAAGGATCGAGGGAGTCCATACACTTGACCGATCTAGAAGACATCAGAGGCCTCACAACCGGTGTCCCAAAGGGAACTGTATTAGTTTCCTAGGGCTGCCATAAGTCACATAGACTGGGCGGGTGAGACAGCAGTTTCACTAGAAGTCTAGAAATCTAAGATTAAGGTATCGGCAGAGTTGTTTTCCTGAGGCCTCTCTCTTGGCTTATAGATGGCCACCTCCTTGCTCTTTCTTCACATGGTCCTTCCCTGCATGTGTCCTAATCTCCTCTTCTTATAAGGACACCAGTCAGATTGGATTTCGACTCCAGTTGTTGCAGTCTAATGATCTCATTTCACCTTAATCGCCTCTTTGAAGACCTTATCTCCAAATACAATTGCATTCTGAGGTCCTGCAAGGTTAGATCTTCAACAAAAAGGGACACAATTTAGCTCAGAACAATTGAATATTTGTCTTTAATGAATAAAAATGTATGTCTAATGACTTCATGACCTTCAAGCATCTTGCCAACCTCCATGTGTCCTTCTGTGAGTCTGGAGGTCTCATCCAGCAGAGAAGAAAGCACCCAGACGTGGAGTCACAGTAACCACATGTTTGTCCCAGTTACTCGGATTGTTCCCTCATCACATCTGAGCTACAGATACCTGCCCTGTAAAATTGGGAAAGTAAGCCATGTCTCACCTATTTTCTCCTCAGGGGTGCTCTAACTTTCGGTGCTCCTAAAGGGGATGATATGAGGAAAAATGAAAATCCATCCTTTTTAAACAGGGGAGATGTGTCTCTTATCTCTCAAAAAAACTGTGGGACTCAAGTCATGAGCGGGCTTTGTAAATTATACAAACACATAAGAGAACCACTAGAGTAGGAAACCCCTATCTTCTCCACCCCTAGAAGCAGTGGCACATCCCCGATGTGTGACCAGAGAACTTGGGGACACATTAGAAGAAGGGCCCCAAGGGACACTGGCCCTTGGTCAGTGTCTTGCCACCCTCCGGCCTGACAAGGCTCATTGCCGTCAGCAGGCACCAAGCTGCCTGCCCTCATCCCTACCGCCACACCCCGTGCCCTCTCCAGACACCACAGCTGTGGCGGGCTCGCCTTGGTCTCCCACTCTGAGGACACCTACCCAGACTCCCCCACATTTGAAAGGAAGGTGGGTTTCATAGTTTACTTCTCCCATTTTGGAGGTCAGAATACCGCGTGGCTGTGGAGAGCTACATCTTCCAGAGGTCGCGCCTTTGGAACTAAAAATGAGAAATCGAGCAGTGGGAATCACTAACATGTTGCTCCGTATGAATGTGTTCACTGACATGTGCTCAGCATCCTGTCCTTTGTCATTTCTGTCTCGAGGAAACTGATATTAGTAGGTTACAGAAGCCCCTAAAGGACACTTTGTTCAGGAATTTTTGTGTTTACCTAAATGTCATATAAAGATGGTTATCTGAACTCCTGGGACTCCAGAGGAAAGAACTGGGACCTGCAGGCAGAAGGCTATGAACTGGATCGTGGCCACTCCCCACCAAATTCCCATGTTGAAGCCCTAACCCCCAGGACCTCAGAATGTGTCTATATTTGTAAATGGAGCTTTTAAAGAGGTAATTAAGGTAAAATAAGGTCATGTGGGTGGGCCCTGACCCAATCTGACTGGTGTCCCAATGAGAAGAGGCACTTAGGACACAGACACACACAGAGAAAGGCCATGTGAGGACATTAAGTAGGTAGCCATCTAAGAGCCAAGGAGAGAGGCCTCAAGAGGAGCCAACCCTTCCAACACCTTGGTCGAGGACTTCTAGCTTCTAGAATTGTGAGGAAGTAGACTTTTGTTTCAGTTCCCCAGTCTGTGGTACATTGTTGTGGCCGCGCTAGCAGACTAATACAAGGGCGCAGAGAGTTTGATTTTGGCCAACTTGAAGGAGAAACCCTTCAACAGAGCCATATGGTGATGGGATGGCTGCTCTGCGAACTTTGCCTTCCTGGCGGTGTCCATCCTGAGCCTGGGCGAGCACTCGAGGAACTGCTGTAGAGAAGAATTACAGTGATTAAAGCTCCAAATCTCAGTGTTTTAGAGAAGTGGAGTTTATTTCTTGTTATGTAAATTTCAGCTTGTGGTGGCCAGGGACTCTGCTTCATGCAGCCATTCGGGGACCCAGGCCGATGGAGGAACCACCATGTTCCGCTTGTGGTTTCCGAGGTCACACCAGACACTCAGCTGGAAAGTGGGAAAAAAGAGAATGTAGAGGATCGTGTGGGGGGGGTTTCATGGGCCAGGCCGACATTTCATTGGTCAGAACTCAGTCACGGGACTCCAAAGAACTAAAAAGAAGGTGAGGAAATTAAGTCTAGCTGTGTGCCGGAGAGGAGAGGACGATGGGTCTATCAGTCACCGATAAGACTGAAATGACCACGGCAGAGGTGATCTGTGGGCCCTCTTCTGGTGCCAGCACTCTGGGGTTTTGTAAACTCATTCTGGGAACTTCTCATGGATGGGAGCTGCAGCCGCCTCTCTCACTGAACCTCTCCTACTTTTCAGCTTCTCGAAACTGCAGCCCCTCTCCCAACTCCATGCAATCCAAGTGACATGAGCCATGGGTATGTGCCAATCAAGGTAAGTAAGCACTCTTTCAGTCAGCTGAGCACTCTGTAATCAGATCACCTAAAGTCACTCACAGAGACGTTTAAGTATCAAAGGTACTTGAACGTTTACCATTTATGGGGAAATCGTATTTCCCACAGGTATCATTCCTCCAAAATCAATGGAATACATGGAGCATGCCTGTGGACATGCAAAGTAGTGTGACCAATGTCATCAGACTCCCAAGAGACAGCAGGCCACATGGGACTTTGGGTAGGCCAGGGGTGCCACTGCGCCTCCATGTTCTGGGGAGAACATTTGTTCATCCAACAAGTACTTATTAAGCACATCCTTTGTGTCGGGCACAGGTCAGATGTGAAGATGCAGGAGAGATAAGATAGACCTGTCCTCGAGGAACCTGGATCAGGATAAAGAGAGTGAAATGGTCATTAAAATGCCCAGTGGTCAGGGCTGTGGCGAGGTCAAGGCCAGGTGCCGAAAGCCCCCAATTCCTGACCTGGTTGGAATATAGTGCAGTCTTCATGGATTCGCTTTGGGATCTTTTTTTATTTGTCATTGGCCCCATTTAAATGCAAAGAGACCTAAAGCAGTGGATCAGCTCACAAGCAAGACAAAGCCCAACAGTCGCTCTGGAGCCAGATAGAATCGGACAGAACCAGCCGGAGTCCTGGCTTTGGCACTCGCTATGTCAGCAAATTTAGATTTATTTCTTATCATTCTGAATCTCAGTGTTCACAGCTTTATAATGAGATGATGATAATATAGTTGACCCTTGAACAATGCAGAGATTAGGGGTGCACAGTAGAAAATTCGCGTATAACTTTTGACTCCGCAAAAACTTGACTGCAGTTGGCCCTTCACGTCTGTGGATTCCCAGTCACAGATGGAAAAAGTTGACTCTTGAACAGCAAGAGTTTGAACTTCATGAGTCCACTTATATGCACAGTTCAAACCCATGTTGTCCCTCTACATTCTTGTAAGAATTCATTGAAGTACCTCAGGTAGCTACAGGCTGACGAAGCGGAGATCTGGTCTGAGCTCTGCAGTGTGGAGACAGTGGGGCGGCCTGCTGTCCTGGAGGATAACCCCACAGATATTTACTGAGCATCTGTTATTGGCTGGGCACAGAGAGAAATACCGAGATGAAGACCGGAGGGATTTTATGCTCCCCTGAGATAAACATTCGCAGCCCCTGTGGTTCCATCACAGGGTGAGGTCCATGCCTGACAGCAGTGCCCAGAGTGCTCAGAATGGGCTCTGGGCAGGGAGAGGCGGCAACCATAAATGCCAGCAGCGGGGCTCAGCCAACTTGGTAAAGTGGGCGTCAAAGAATGAGTGGGAGAGGGGTAGTAAGAAAGGGCTTCTCTGCTACTAAAACTCCAGTCAGTGCCAGTGCAGCTCCTCCTGTCACCCTGGGTGCTTCTGAAGGGGTGAACATCCTTTTGGACCTTAGCTATGTATCGATGAGGAGTGAAGGGCTCTTTGCCTGGGGCTTGTGTCTTCAACTCCCTGGACAGGGTTATTTTTGTAATCCTCTCGATTCTTGCATCTTCAGCCAGTTCCAATAGGTTCCTCATCTGACCATGAAGGAGGGCGATCAGAACTGATTTGCCACCCCCTCATCCTCTACCCCAAATTCAAGAGCTAGGGCAGTGACCTCTGGGGAGCCCCAGCTGAGCCCAGGCTCTGGGGGTGCTGTTGCATCCATTTTCACTGGGTGCTAACGTTACCCAGACTGGGTTGGTAATAGATCTTTCCCATTTTCTGACTTTATTGCAATTTTGTTAACGTGTCATTTAAAGGATGGGAAAGCTCATGTGTTTTCTGAGCTCTGCTGAGTCAAATATGAAGCAGCAGAGCAAGCCTTTTAGTTGGGATCCATTTAGACCAGAGGCAGACAAGGATTATTGGATTGGACATCAGCACTGTAATGTTTTTCAGTATAAAGAGTATGGAATTTAAAGTTGAATTCCTTCCTTTTACCAAGTACTAAGGGGAAGACAATGAAACATATTCTTATAAAAATATCATAGTCTGTGAAACGGTTTTTGGAATGTCAGCCTAATGTTTTCTTGAGCAAGACAGCTTGTTGGGAATCATGGCTGCAACTTGCAATTTGCAACACCAACTTGGAGAAGTCTGAAATGCAGCTAAATAGAATTGTTCCATGTGAATTTCTGTAATGTGAAGCTTATTTTTCTCATTCATTTCCATTAGAAAATTAGAGATATGTATTTTTGGGAAAAATAGAGCCCTTTGACTATATTGCTTTAGTTCTTTTGCTTAGACCCGACTGAAATGGTCAGCAGAGGCTTAGTGCTCTCACGAACAAACCCAGCTTAATGCCATGTCTGTTTCTTGCTGCAGCACCACCCAGTGTGGGTTAGGAGTGGGCTTTCTCCACGCAGTCATTCAGGCACCCGGGCTCCTTTCTGCTAGTTCCACCGTCCTCAAGGCCCAGTCCATTCAGATGCACACATGCACACAAGAAAGAGAAGGAGGACCAGCTGTGGGAACCCCGTGATGTAGCACACATTTCTTCTGCTTATGTGCCATTGGCCAGAACCTAGTCAAATGGCCATACCCGCTGCAAGGAATAGGGGGAGGTCTGGAAAATGCCACCTTGTGCCAGGGAGAAGAGCAGATGTTGAGCCCTAGCAGCCTCTGCTGCATCCATGAAGCCCAGAAAGGGCAAGACGTGTAGCAAAGCTTGAGAAGAAAGTTATATTCAAAAGATAAACAGCTTTTAACAAAACAATTCTAGTATTCTGCATGTTAGCATAAATATTTTGCTCTGCACAAAATCGGCCTCCAGTTTTCAATATTGAAAACATGACAAACCGCACCAGAAATTCTGATAGGATGGATGCAAACTTATTTTGTTCTGTTTTGTTTTCCAACGTTATAAACTTTTCGGGCTTCTTCTGTCACAGTGAAAGCCACCTGTTTTTATTGCACAGTTTAGCCAGTCGTCTCTTCTCAGACATCTTCTCGCATTGGAGTCTCAGGCTGAGAAAGCTGGGCTGTATGCAAGATCTAGCAAAATACTGAAATGGCCCAGATGGTCCACAGAAGAGGGACCTGATTCTGCCCAGCCTGGCACTGTGGTCATTTCCCGCTCACCTCTCTCTTTTACAGCCTGGGGTGCGTCTGCATTTTGTGGAGCTGGGCTCCGGCCCTGCTGTGTGCCTCTGCCATGGATTTCCTGAGAGCTGGTTCTCTTGGCGGTACCAGGTAAGGGGAGCTGGGAGAAGGTACAGCCTGGTCAAGGTGAAGTGAGGGGAAAGTCTAGATGGTGTGGCCTAGCCTGAATGTCATTAAGAAGCTGCACCCTTACAGTGGAGCGTCATCTCCAAAGTATGACCATGATACTTCAGAAATGGGGCCAGAACTTGCTCCAGACCTCAGAGCTATGCTAGCCCATATGCTACCTTTGCAGATTAAGAAAAGACAGACTTCTTCAAGATACTCTATGCCACTTGTGAGAAGTCTTTGTAATGATCATAGAAATTAAGTTCTATGTTAGGAAAGGTGCTTTCTTAGATGTGGCATTTGATGCAGTAAACAAACCCTACCACCATCCCTGGCAGCCCTATCCAGGTGGGCGTGCTCCAGTCCCATAGAGGAGACACCAGATAGTGCCATGGGGCACTTTGGATTGAACTGTTTGCAAGAATAGTGGGATAGAGGAACCAAAGAGGGAGTGTCAGCCAAACACTAACGAGACCACACTGGAGTGTGTATGCACTGTTTGTTTTCTAGATCCCTGCTCTTGCCCAGGCTGGTTTCCGGGTACTAGCAGTGGACATGAAAGGCTATGGAGAGTCGTCTGCGCCTCCTGGTGGGTTAGCTCTCTTACAGCTGTCCTCTCCTGATCGTGCTTTCCAACTGTCCCAGCTCTCTAACTGCACCGTCATCCCCTGGTCCCAGGGCAGAGCAGGCAGTCCTTCAAGAGGTCTTACTTCGCCCCTCCCCTTTCCAGCAATGTCCTCTGTCATGCAATTTGGGTCCCAGATGCCGGTCCCAGATGTTCCTCATACTCAGTGAATACAAGAAATCCAATGGCCTGTGCCCTAGGGGTGTCTCCTGTTGGTTGGTGGGGATGTAGAGCGTAGGATGTATCATCCATCTCTAGAACTTTTTCCATCTGGCAGAACTGAAACTCTGTACCCATTAAACAATAGCTCCCCAATCTTCCTTCCCCCAGCCCCTGGCATACACTCTCTTCTTTCTGTCTCTATGAATTTGACTACTCTAGGTACCTCATGTAAGTGAATCAAAAAGTATTATCCTTTTGTGGTCCATCCATGTTGTAGCATGTGTCAGAATTTCTTTTTTAAAGATGAATAGTATTCCATTGTATGGATATGCCACATTTGTTTATTCATTCATCCATCAATGGACACTTGGGTTACCTCTGCCTTTTGGCTATTGTGAATAATGTTGCTATGAACATGGGTATACAAATATCTCTTTAAATTTCAGTTTTTTGGGAGAGTATATACCCAGAAGTAGAATTGCTAGGTCATATGGTAATTCATAGGCCAGATTCTTAACCTAGCATCTGTAGATCCCAGTGGGAGTCTATCTAAGGATGGGTGTCAGGGGGCCTATGAACCCCTGAGATCACATGTGGCTTTATGAGCATTTTCCTTGGGGAGGGGAGTCCATTGTTTTTATCAGTTTCAGAGGGATCCTGAGCCCCATACCTGAGGTTCTCTCAGGTGTGGAGGCAGGGATGTGAAGTAGCCAGGTGTGCAGCAGAACTCCTGGTTCCTCCAAGTCCCTACGATACTGTTAGCAGTAGTGACTGAGCAAGCCAAGCCAGCTGCCCAACGTCCTTTTTCTGAGCCGCTTCCCCCATATTTACATAAAGCCTGTTGTGCTGAGTTTGAAGGCAGCTGACATGGACTAGGGCTCTTGGTAACTCAGGTGGCCACCAATCAGGCCACTCAGCCTGTCACAGCAAGAGAGTGCCTCCATAATTATTCCCTAAATGCCATTGTCTCAACTCAGCAGCTGCTTATTACTTTGGAATGATGCAGAAGCATTTTAGACAAAACAATAGCCTTTAGTCCAAACATCCAGGAAAGGCATCTAAGGGTTTGTTTTTATTTAATTTAATTATTAAAATGTTTATTATTATTCATTTATACTACAATCTTCCCTGAATCCCCTAGGCATAACTTAGTGATATAATTTTTATCATTCAAATTAGAACACTATTAAAAGAGACACTGTTTAATAATAACACACATAAACTGAAACTGTCCTGAACAAACTGGGACCTATGATTATACCCTAATTATAACTCTTTATAAGAAAAACATAATTTACCTGCTAACTATTGTTGAACATGAATTGTATAACATGAATTCTAAAGCCAAGCATAATATTTGGAATATATACACATACAGTTCAGATCATTTCTGTACAGATTTCATATCATTTGTTAATAGATTTTAAGTAACAAATTATTTTCTCTTAAAATTTTGAAGCTTTGTCCAACTATTTTCCAGCTTCCCTTGTTGCTATTGAGAAGTCCCCTGCCGTTTTGATCCACAAGGCTTTCTATGTGACGTTTAGGTGGTTTTTTTCCTTACCCTTGACACTTTTAGGATCTTTTCTTTATCATTTGTGTTCTAAAATTTTATGATACCGTGCTATAATATGGGTCTTTTTTCATCTCCTTTACTGGGTACATTTATCTTTCAGCTCTTTGAAATTCTCTCGAATTATTTCTTTGATAATTTTTCTTCTGTTTTCTCAGTTTTCCTTTCTTTCTTTTTTCTTTTTTTCTTTCTGAAATTGTTATTATTGTTAAAATGTCATTACTACCCCAAATGAACTTCAGGTTCAATATAATCACTATCAAAATCCCATTGGTATCTTTTTATGAAAATAAGAAATACAATTCGACAGTTTGTTGTGGATTAACAACAACAACAAAAACTTTTTATAGTCAAATCAATTTTGAGAAAGAACAGAGCTGGAAGACTAATACTTTCTGATTTCAAAATATATTTCAAAGCTACAATAATCAGAACTGTATGGTACTGGCATAAAGCTAGACATATACACCAATGGAACAGAACAGAGAGCCCAGAAATCAATTCACACATATACAGTCAACTGATCTTTGACTAGGGTGCCAAGAACAAAGAATAGGGAAAGGATAGTCTTTTCAACAAATAATACTGAGAAAACTGCATATTCACATGGAAAAGAATAAAATTGGACCCTTACCTTATGCTATACATAAAAGTCAACTCAAAATGGGTTAAAGGCTTAAATGTAAGACCTGAAACTGTAACTCTTAGAGGAGAACGTAGGGGAAAAGCTTTATAACATTGGTCTTAGCAATGATTCATAGATCTAACACCAAAACACAGGCGACAAAAACAAAAATAAAGTAGGGAGTACCCTAGTCTGAGAATTCAATGATTATATATTTTTTTGACGCAAAGACCCTTTTAGTTCGTTAGTAATTTTTAATCATGTGAATTAAATTTATTTTTTTTTTTTATTGCAGAAATAGAGGAATACTCCATGGAAGTGCTATGCAAGGTAAGAAAGATCTATGGGTAAGATCTGTAACATCTTTTCCATCCTAGTATTTTTACTGATAAAAGTCAGAAGTGTGAGTGTTCATTTAAATTCTAGGAAAGCAGGATTTCACAGCATTTGGGTATAAATTCTTACTGTAAATTGAAATGCCGTTTGAAAGTGATGGCCAACATTTACTGGGTATCAAGTACTGCTCTAAGCATTCGATGGAAGAGGAAACAGAGTCACGGGGAGGCAAAGTAATGACCCAAGGTCAACACCTAGTAGAACCAGGTTTAACCCCTGTAATAGGCCTCACATCCCTCCTCTTAACCACTCCAACATATTGCCTTTCCACCTGGGGATTTTAAAAATCATTTTATTTTGGTAAAGATGTTGTTGGCCAGACCTAGGGATTAGTGTGTGGCTTGGTGACTAATGGCGTTCTTATTCTAAGACAGGCAAAGACACCGCTAGGGAGGGGGACCCTCAACTCAGAGCTTGCAGCAGGGAGGCTGAGGCTAATCAGGGTGAAGAGAAACTGTGACTCAAACCTCCTTAGAGCAAAAGCAAAGGCTGGAGGGACCAAGGTGAAGAAACAGACAGAAAACTGACAATGCTGCTTGTTACACTAAAATTACAAAAAACCTCCATCTCAGAGTCAGAGCTCTGCCTGGGGCTACCCACATCTGGCGCCACACACAGGCTTCAGCGTCTCGTAAGGGGAGCATGGGTGAAAGCTTGGTTTCCAGTTAGGGTTGTTTTTCCTTCCTGAGTTTCCAAACTCAGTTTGCCTCTTCTATTCTGCTCCTTCTGACTTTGCTCATATCTCCCCTCAACCCTGCCAAGGTCTCACTAGTGACCCTGTGGGATCCTTTCCGCATCGCTCCAACGTCCCCTAACCTGGATTTCTGTCAAAATCTGTTCTTGAAACAGATAAATTGGGTCGTTTGAGATAACTGCTCTCCTGAAGAAAGTTCTTTTACTAAAAGAAGGTAAAATGTGATGCACCTATACCCTGACTCCACCTTTTAAAAAATCATTGGTATGTCGGCTACTAGGTATTTACCCAAGAGAACTGAAAAAGGTGCCCCTAAAAAACCGGCACTTGAATGTTCACAGCAGCATTATTCACAATAACCAAAAAGTAGAAACAACCCAAATATCCATCAACTGATGAATGGATAAACCAAATGCGGTGTATCCATGTAATGAAATATTATTCAGCAATAAAGATGTATGAATGAACCTTGAAAACATTATGCTAAGATAAGCCAGTCACGAAAGACCACATATCGTATAATTCCATTTGTATGAAATATCCAGACTAGGTAAACCATAGAGACAGAAATTAAGTTAAAATATCCAGACTAGGCAAATCCATAGAGACAGAAATTAAGTTAGCAGTTGCTAAGGGCAAGGAGGAATGGGGAGTGAGACGCGACTGTTAGTAGGTACAGGGCTTCTTTTTGGTGTGGTGAAAATGTTCTGTAACTAGAAAGCGAAGATGCTTTCACAACTCTGGATACACTAAAAACCACTGAATGGTACACTTTAAAGGGGTGACTTTTATGGTATAAGGGTCATAGCTTAATAAAGCTGTTATTTTAAAAAATCATCAATACAATATCTTTAATGTAAAATTTTATTTAAAGCAACTTCATATTGTCTTTAAACATAGGGTTACAAAAAAATCTAAATGAAGATCCTTAATGCTTCTTGCCCTCAAGTGCCCACAACAGCTTTTTTTCCCAGTGACATCTCCCAAATATAATGAAAACTCTTTTTGTCAACCATAGTTCCCCAAATTTGTGTGCCAGTTAATCATACAACTGTTATTTGTTTTAAAATGGGTATCTTTAAGGAACCATAAACCTGTTCTCTGTAGTCTTAAGATTCCAAATGAGGAATGTTGAAATGCTACATTGCAAAAATGTTATCTTCTAAAGTTTATTAATGTTGGGAGTCTTGTCTATACCCAATTGTCCCTTTCATTGTGCAGCACTTAAACTGTAGCATCAGGCCCATAACTGGCTCTGAGTGAATTTTAACTGGAGAATAGATGTTATAAGTGAGGGAGCTCATTAGGCCCTGTGTTGGTGATGGAGGTATTAGGGAGGGAAGGAGTGGAAGAGCAGGTGCTTCTTACTTGAAGGATGAGGGGACTGTGATGTGCCCAGGTGCCATTTCGCTCTTCTTGCCTGGCCATATGGCAAAGGCACTAGCAGCGAGTTTTCCAATAGGTAATTATGTGAACAGGCCCCAGAGAATGTCCGTGGATCCAGGCCCTTCTTTCTGGAAATTGTTTCCCGAGACCAAGATCTTGCAGGCGCCTGTTAGAATAAGGCCATTTCTTATTAGAAATGACATTTTGGATGGCCCTGGAAGCAGTACAAGACTCTGGCTGCCCTGGAATTACTGACCTTTACTCCACTCTGGCCTCTAAGCAGCATCTGGAAGTTGCTGAAAAGCAGCGGCCACTCCAGTCGCTGTAGCTGGACCATAATTCTGCACCCCACATCCTTTGAAGACCAAGATACTAGAGGACTCTCTCTTACATCAGACAGTCCTTTGGTTCTTAGGTCCTCATTGAAAACCCCGTGGGTGCTGCCACTTGGTAGGCTTGTTTGGGCATTTCTGGGAAACCCTCCGCTAAGTTCCTCATTAGCGCTTATATTAGTTTGCTTGGGCTGCCATAACAAGGTATCAAAGACTAGAGTGTCTAAAACAACAGAGACTTATTCTCTCGCCATTCTGGAGGCTAGACTTCAGATAACTGTGTCAGCACAGTTTCATCTGAGGCTTCTAGATGAGGCATGAGGATGACCATCTTCTCCTTGTGCCTTCACGTGATCTTTCTTCTGTGTCCAAATCACCTTTTCTTATAAGGACTCCAGTCATATTGGATTAGGGCCCATCCTAATAACCTCAGTTTTAACTTAATCACCTCTTCAATGACCCTATCTTCAAAGGTAGTCACATCCTGAAGGTCTTAATGGTTAAGACTTTAACACATGAATTGTAGGGAGACACAATTCGGTCCATAACAAAAGCAGACACAGTAATTCTAATCTTGAAGCTGAGATAGAGGCATACAATTTCTGATTTTTTTGTGTGTGTGCTTTCTTTCTTAGGATATGGTAACCTTCCTGGATAAGTTGGTAAGTAATAATTTTGAACTAATCTCTTTGGAGAACTCTGTTTGGGCCTAGTAATTACAGACAAAATGTCAGCCTTTGAGGGTATCAGCTGTCAGAACCTCTAGGGGAATGGCGAGGGCAGGGAGAGGCCCACTTTGGGGCACTGGGAGGCGGGGTGGTTGGTTGGAAGGAATCACAAAACTGGAGATGGCAAAGTATATGGAAAACAGTGTAGACAACTTTGTTTTGTTTTTTGTTTTTATGAAAAGTGTCTTCCAGGGAATAGGATACCTCTGTTGGCTTGAGTCAAGATGTTTGGAAAATACCCTGTAGGGCTAATATTTCACAACTTTTTAAAGCTTACATTTCTTTTGAAATATTTAAAATCGAATGCCTTCATTTAATGTTGTTTGGAATGTCAGACTCCAGTTGACGACAGTGACCTGTGAATATGCTTTTGCAGAGCACACGTACTATTCCAGAGATTGCAAGTGGGGACAGACAGCCTCCTCCCAGTCCGCAGTCACTTCACGGTGCAGAGCGAAAGCAATGCAGCATGGACTGAGGTGGAGAGGGCGAAGCCAGGACAGGACCGGTGGAGAGGGGAAGGGGGAGCTAAGAGAGAACCTCAAGGCAGCGGGATTTAAAATCAGCAAACAAACAAACAAACAAAAGCAATGGGATTTATCACCTGTTAATTGGTTGTGAGTCTAGGGAAGAATCCGAGTTGACTAAGGAATTCCAGTTCAACAGCCAGGCTCAGTGCCAGGCTCTCATAAACGAAGTGAAGAGGGCATGGCCCTGCCCTCCGCTGTTCTCGGTGCCATGGAATTGGTGTTGGAACTTTTGAGTATGCTGGGGTCATCAAAGAGGACATGGCTCAGTGTGGCCACCCCAGTCTTGACACTATAACGACCTCCAATCCAGAAGTTTTCCAACTGGCTGAGAACATCTTCTTCTGATTACTGAGAGCCTCTGCGGCTGCTGGCCAGCTGGGTCAGGTGTCTATCCCTGGCTCCGTCATTACTGGGACACATAGGAAGGAGGCTGGCTCAGCTGCAGAGGAGGCGGTCACCCTCCACAGGAGGGGGTGGTTGAAGTCACTGGAGTTAACAAGTTTCCTGAGGGCAGGCCTGAGGGCCGAGCGGTGAAATGGTCTCACAGAAGAGATGGAGGAGGGAGTAGACTCAGTGAAATGAGGCTGGAAAGCATAGCATCACAGGAGCCAAGGGAAGAAGCTGCTGAAGGAAATGTCTACTGCTGTAGAACAGTCAGAAGAGTGAGAAGCAAGAGGAAAAAAAACTCTTAGTGGTGATGATTAGCCTTTAGGAAGGACGTTTCCATGGCTCAGGGGTAGCAGGGAAGAAACCAGACTACAGTGATGTAAGGAGGTTGTTAGGGAGGCCTCTGGTGTAGACATCGTGAAAAGTTGGGAACACACAGGGGACAGGAGTGTGGTAGGGAACAGTGTGGTAGGGAACCACTTTTCAAGATGGCGGTGAGGCAGGAGAGGATCCGAAAGGCCTTGCTGTGACTGAACGAGGCCAGCAGGGTCGGGGAGAAGGAAGAGCCTGATTTTAAGTTGGGGAGACCTGGGTCTGAATTGTGGCTCCTCCATTTACTATCTGTGCAGCCTTGGACAAGTCACCTAGCTGCTCTGAGCCTGTCTTCTTATTTGTAAACCGTGTATTAGATGTTATTGGGACAATTCCAGATAATGGATATAAACACTTAGCACAGCGCCTGAGACACAGTAGCAGCTCAATGAAAAGGAGCTGTTGTCATTTTTAGTAGCAGCAGAAGAAAGGAAGGTGCAGAGGGAGAGATTAAATATGACTTTGAGGTTTTAGTGGTTAGTTAAGGGAAGGAAGATCCCAAAAGAGTGGGGATTAGAATCATAATCACTCATAATGAAATCGTAATCATAATCATAATGAAAGATGAACATGTACTATGGGGACGTAAGTCATACCAACTTTAAAACAAAAGAGAGGGGAAAAGGTGAAACAAATTTTGATTTGAAGGAAAATAGAGAAGGGAGAAGGAATTCATGGCCAGCGGCCTCCATCTTCTAACAAAATTTAAAGGGCCAGTCACATGTGTAGAAGGCATACGGGGCCGGTGTGTGAGGATGGGGCTTCCGGGGCGGGGGGATGTCTGGAGGAGTGTGGTCAGTGGAGAGGCTGAGAGGGGTTGCGGCTGAGGGTTGGGCCTAGGAGAACACAAGGCCTGGGCTCCCAGCGCCTACCCCGGAAACCTGCCCACAGCCACTCCCGTCTCTTTCCTCTGCCAGGGCATCTCCCAAGCAGTGTTCATTGGCCACGACTGGGGAGGCATGCTGGTGTGGAACATGGCTCTCTTCTACCCTGAGAGAGTGAGGTAATTTGGCTGTGGGCATCAAGAATTTGGGTAGGACTGGGACTGAATTCCCACTGGAATCCTTCCTCAGGTCTTGAATCCCAGAAAACTTCTAGAAAACACGTAGATCATCTGGGAAGGTACCTACTTAGCTTCTTAGGGTCCACTGACACATTAAGAAGGAGGGCTTAATGAGCTAATGTCTTAGGAAGTGAGACCTGTCCCAGTTACTGGTAATGGGACAAATAATTCAGGACCAGAGTATTCAGCGGGCATGCAGGGGAATGATGATAGACTTCAGGGGGAGTGGGTGAGGCAGCAAGGAATTCGGGTTCATAGTATTAAGCACCAGGACAGACTTTAGTCCTGGATAGGGAGTCAGAAAATGTGGCTTTCAGTTTTGCCCTGAACTGGCTGTGTGACAAATCAGTTCACCCATTAGGCTTTGGTTTCCTCAACCACAAAGTGGTGATGGTCACGCCCACCCGACTGTACAGCCTGCAAAATGCTGTCCAGATGTCAGGTTAGAATGGCACTTCGGGGCACCAGTGGGAGCTTTCAGATGATGGGCTGTGAACCTAGAGAGTCAGGTGGCTATGCAGCCACACCCCATTTGAGCTGGCAATCAAAGTTAAAGCCTGTCTGACCTCCCACTTCAGCCTGGGATCTTAGCAAATTAAACAAACATCATCCCTAACAGCCTTCTGTATTCCTTAACTAAATTACTTTTATTTGGCTAAGTTTATAAGAACAGAAACACCAGAAAACTTGATTCACCTCAACCCTAGCTCAGATGGTAGGCTGGTATAAAAGACTAAGAGGAATCAAACATTTCCTAAAATGTTTAAAAGTTGGTCACACTCTTGTCTTTATGATTTCTTTAGTTTTTCTCTGTGTCCTCTCTGTCAAAGGCAAATTAAGATCTCAGTTCTTAGGAACTGAGTTCACCAGAAAGTTACTCTCCAGAGCATATTAGATGCTTCTTGAAGGGAACAAAAGGAAATATAGTGACGAGCTAAGGTGTTGACCTTGAGAAAGGTGAAACACCTTATTGTTGTTTTGTTAAACTTAACCTAGCTCTCCTGTGAAAAATTTAAAGTATTTAACATCAGCCAAGTGAAGAATAACATCGGATCTGAGACACTCTAGCGTGCTCTGGTTTCCCATTCCTCTTCTCGTTGTCTGTTTCCACCCTGTTTTCATTAGTTCTGGTGGTGGTTGCTCCTTCTGCATCTGCTCTCGTCAAAGCCGCCCTCCTGCTGCATTCCTGGGAGGGCGGGAGGAAGCCAAGCAGCATCCTGTTATTTAAGAATATTGTTAGCAATACTGATCTTCGCCTTTCTAGCCAGATAATGAAAGAAAGCACAGTCTACCTTTGACGTGGAATATTTCTTTGGGTCCTTGGTTTTGGCTTTCTACTGAGATAAGGTCTTTTCTGGTTCTTGCAGACTGTCTTCTTACTGCGTCTGTGTCTCGGTGCCTCTTCTTTCCATAGGGCAGTGGCCAGTTTGAATACCCCCTACATGCCGGCAAACCCCAACAGGTCCCTAATGGAGACCATCAAAGCCAATCCTGTTTTTGATTACCAGCTCTACTTCCAAGAACCGGTAAGTTTGAGGCCCAGAGAACAATGACCCCAGCAAGGTATTGCTCTCCTTTCCTCCTTCTCTCTCCTTCTCCCATTGGTTTGATTTATCTCTGTCCCCTTTAATTTTCTGTGGCATTCGTCAGAAATGATTTCACAAATGGGCTCAGGTGAAACTGGTTCTGGGGTTCAGATGGTCTTTTCCATGTGATGACACATTTCTGAGGAATGGGAGTGGGGACGATGGCATACTGGGTCCTCTCACTTCTCTGAAACTGCGGAGTAGGGGCCTGAGCACTAGTTTGGAGCTGTCCCCTCTTAGTGCTCTGGCTGAGAGGCTGGCGGAATCCATGTCGTTCTGGGACAGCTTCTGACCTCTTGCCAGGAACCTAGTATCTTGGCTTCCTGAGAAGTAAGGTTTGTGATTACAGGGAGCATCAGAGCCTAAAAGCCCTATACCCAGCCCCAGATGTGCTTAGAGAGATGCGGGGGGTTACTAGTGTCACCCCATGTACCACAAAACCCTAGATGGCCCCTGGAGCTCAGGTGATGTGTGCGATGGGGTGTCACTGCTACATTTTACTGGGATTCACTGAGAGTGATATCGTGAGTCAGTGTCATCTGGCCTGCCACCCCCAACTGCTTCATGAGGGCACCTGCTCCTCCTTCATTTGTGGGCTCTGGGCCCTAGTGTCCAGCTACGTCCGGATAATTCCTGCGAGAGGATAAAGGAAGTTTCCTTATCACTCCGAAGAGAGAAGAATGGATTGGATTAATTAATAAAGAGCATAAGAGCATCTTCCCACATCTCTCACTGCCCCCCACCCACTTGCCATTCTGCATCCCAAGTAGGGACCCTTTCCAGGGATGGTCACAAACACCCCACTTTCAATTCAGCGAGTAACTCTTTTCTAAGAACTGTTTTCTAAGAACTGATAAAATGGCGCCTCAGAAGAGGAGCTTTTTGATTCAGGCAGGAACTTGATTCGTGCAGTAGGACCCCAGAAGCCTCCAGTAAGATGATGAAAAAGGCGCTCCTCCACTGAAGCCGGGCCCTACTGCTCCACAGTCTAGAGTGTGGAAAGCAGTGAGCTTCCTCTGGCTTTAATTAAATCGAAATGTCTTTAATTAGTTTGAAGTGGTCTTGATCTTGAAGGATGGTTATGGTTTAGATGACATATTAGTCAGGTAGGGTTGCCATAGTAAAGTACCATGGACTGGTGGATTAAACAACAACATGTATTATCTAACAGAGGTTCGAGATTAAGGTGTCTACATGGTTGGTTTCTTCTGAAGTCTCTCTCCTCAGTTTCTAGATGGCCCCTTTCTCGCTGTGTTCTCACATGGCATTTCCTCTGTGTGTGTGTCTCTGTCCAGATTTCCTCTTATGAGGACACGAGTTACAGTGGATTCAGATTCACCCTAAAGACCTCATTTTAATGACCTCTTTAAAGACCCCGTCTTCAAATACCATTACATTCTGAGGTAGTGGAGGTTAGGACTTCATAGGAATTTGGGGAAGACACCATTCAGCCCACAACAGAGGGACAGTGTCCCTTGTGAAAGAAACAGGAGCATGGCAACAGGAATGGGACAGTGGGGGTGAAGGGTGGAGACTTCAGAAACTGACCTGTTTGGAATGATACCTGGGTGAGTGGGATGGGAGGGAGGTAAGTACCCTTGTGCAAGGCCTGGAAAGTAAGCTCTGAGTTTATAGTTGATGTCAGAAGCAGTTGAGAATCGCTGTGGGTTTGTCACCCCACCCGTCACAGATGGCCCCATGAAAATTCTGTCAGCTGAAGTAGGAAAGAGGATCCCATCCAGTCTAAGGTGTGGCGTACTGCCTGTCACCCTTTCTCAGGTGTTTGCTTCTTCCATACCCAACTCACACTGGAGAAGTATCTGCTGTGGGAAAGGGGAGCAAAGTGGTGGGTCTAGGCTCTTGAGTGGCAGCTGCCTTGGCCTTTGGGAATTGAGGAGGGAACAGAGTCCCACACAAAATTAGGGAGCTAGTGTTTGGGTCCCTGTCACCTCTTATCTGACCCTTTCTCAATCTCTGGCTCTGCTTGGCCCCCACCCCAGCAGTCCAACCCCCTCCCACTGGCCTCAGTATGCTCAGCGCTCCCCACCCAGCGGGCCCCCCACCACAAGGCCCTCTAACACCTCAAATGCCCATTCTTAGTCGCTCCTCACCCTTCTACCTTCTCCTCTAACCTATCCCCCATGCCCTGTGCATAAGTTACAACAGGCCCTCAACACTCTGCCCCAACCTTTGGGTGCCCCATGTGGACAATCCAGAGGGAGAGAGAGGGTGTGGGGTTTCATGCATCTGCTTTCTCTCCCACCTTGTTTTCCTTTTCCTTTTTCTCTTTCTCATTCTTTTGAATTTAACATTTGTAAGAAGACTCCTATCTGCTGCAAAACAGAGGTGCCCTGCAATGTGTGTGAGGGGTTGGGCATTACAAATATGTTTAAACATCAGGAATGTTTTAATTAGTGTTACTTGGGAAGAATTACTATGCACTAGTTCTTATAGCAAATACGTATGTACCTTCTATTATATGCCAGTTTCACGAGAGAATCTAGAAATGAGTAAAAATTTCTGAGGGTTTAAATGATTTCTGGGGAGACAGGCAGATAACACATACCTGGAGAATAAGAGGGTGTAAAGGATTATAATGGAGGTACAACGTGCTCTGGGAGCCCACAAGAAAACACAGTTAATTTTTACCAAAAGAGAGAGCATTTGAACCGCACCCGGGAAGATGAGTAGTATTTGGGTGGGTGGATATGAGAGAGAAGACCTTTCTGGCCTGAGGGACAAATGGCCGAAGTTGCATATAAAACTCGCTTAACCCAGGGATAAATGTGGGAGATGAGAGAGAGTTCTATCGAAGTAGTCAGCGATCCTCGAGACGAGTTTCAGAAGGTCTGGAACGTCTTGAAATTGTCCACAGAATTTAGTGTACGCACAAATTTTTCCAAAGAAAGAGTCCCTAACTTTCATCAGCCCAAGAGTCCTGATCCAGTAGGTTTTTGAGGAATTCAAATTTCTAACAAGCTGAGGTGATGCTGCTGCTGCTGGTCCTGGATCCACACTTTGAGAACTGTGACTGTAGCCTTGGGGGAGGGGCTAACCCAGCCATTTTCCAGACAGTGCTGGGTGGGCAGCCATCCTTGTCAGTGAGTTAGAGACCTCTGGTCAGCTGGCTCTAGTCAAGGATTGCTGGAGCAGATCATGGGGGGAGTTGACTGTCTCGCTAATATAGGTTCCCTCTATTGCAGGGGTCTTCAGACTTTCTGGTCCTAGGCCCCCTTTACACTCTTAAAAATTATTAAGGACTTCAAAGAGTTTTAGTTAATGTGGGTTATGTCTATACCTATTGATATTTGCTGTACTAGAAGTTGAAATTCTAAAATATTGATTAATTCATTTAAAAAATAAACAGTAATGTGCCTATGTTAATGTAAATAACATTTTTATTTTAGAAAACTTTATTTTTCTTAAAAAATTTAGTGAGAGTAGTATTGTTAAACATTTTTCAAACTCTTTTAATGTCTGGCTTAACGGAGAAAGCTGGTCGGTTCTCGTGGCGGCCTCTGCATTCAGTCTGTGGGAACAGCACATATAGAACCTCTGGAAAACTCCACAGTGCTTATGAGAGCGTGAGAGTGAGAAGGATATAGCATACACTTTGAGAAATACTACTTTTTTTTTAAGTTGTATTAATGTAATTGTAGGAGCTAGAAAGGGGAAGTAATAGTTTCACTATATATTGTGTTTTGATCGAACTACATGTAGAGTATTTATCAATGGAATTTAGCTCATTAAAATAATTTTTAATTATTTTTTAAATTGTAAAATACACATAATGTAAATTTACCATTTTAAGTGTGCAGTTTAGTGGCACTAAGTACATTCTCATTGTTGTGCAACCATCACCATCATCCATCTCTAGAACGCTTCTCATCTTGCAGAACTGAAACTCTGTACCCATTAAACACTAATTCCCTATTCTCCCTCCCCCCAGCCCCTGGTACCACATTGTACTTCTGTCTCTACGAATTTGCCTACTCTAGGTATCTCATGTAAGTGGAATCGTACAATATCTGTCCTTTTATGTCTGGTTCATTTCACTTAGCATCATGTCCTCAGGATTCGTTCACGGTGTAGCATGTGTCAGAACTTCCTTCCTCTTTAAGGCCAAATAATATTCCACTGTACATGTAGACCAATTTCCTTTTATTCATTCATCCGTGGACGGACACTTGGGTTGCAACTACCGCTTTTTGTGTGTGCAATGTGCCAGTTAGTTCTATTCACAACAGCACTATGGTGTCGCTTCCTCATGTCAGCTGAGCAAGCTGAGGTTCTGACAGGCTCACTAACTGGCCCGAGGTGTGTCACTCGGTCAGGATGTTGACTTCAGAGCCCATGTGCCCCCTGGGAGAGAGCTTGGACTTTATTCTGTGTGCGCTTCTCATCCCAGCAGAGTGGGGAGGAGCAAACCAGGATAGTTCAAAGTCCTGACTGAACAAGTGACCTCAGGGGAAGGACTCTCACTAATTGCAGCCATAGTTGGAAGGTTTCAAAGGTTGACATAGTCATTGTGGGGAAATGGGTACCTCTATTATTCTCTTGTAGCAGCTGGGTTTAAAATCTGCAAGAAGAGTTTGGGGATGGTTTTGTGCTTAAGAACAGAGCCTCTTGCAGGGAAATGTTAGATATTCAAATGAATGATCTGGCCACTGAAAGGAATCCAGGAACCCACCTGGGGTGAATCCAGCAGCCAAGTTGGGGTCTTAAGAAGAAACCATTCACGGGGGTCCTGCCAGCATGTCTGCTGCCTGCTCAGTAACAGGGCAAGGCCCTTCCTGTCTCTGGCCTCAGTTTCCTCACCTGAAAAAGGATAGTCTGGTTGGATGGTCTTCAAACACGTAATAGCATCAAGGGTGGGTATTGGGGGCCAGCCCCTCCTTCCTGCCTTTTTCCTCCCAACTCAGCCCACAGCTCTCCAGCCA